ATACTTCAGGCTCCCTGACCAACCTAACAGTTGACTATGGCCCTGGTCACAGCACAGCGAAGCCGCCCTTTCATTCGACTTCCAGCCCCCTCTATCCGGGGATCAAGATGGAGGCTTTGCGTCAGTTCATTCGCCAGTACAAGGGTCAGGTACTCAGTTTCAGGGGGACCGGTTCTGGGGAAAGAGGGCATCAGGAAGGAGGGAGAGCATCAAGACCGGCCTCCCGCTTCTCTACTACCCAAGCCACAGCTTTCCACGGCACAGCCGCGGGGGCCATCCTGAAGTCTAACTGGTCCGAATGATCCACCCTGTTCCAAGGGATGAGCGAGGAAGAGTGGCATGGCTGTTGGTCCTGGGAGGACTTGGTGAAGAATCAAGGAGATTATATCAGGCCATCTGGTGGACAGGGGGAGTGGTGAAGAAGTGGAGGCTTAGATCCTTACAGTCTGGGAGCATTTGCTTGTTACCCTACCAGAAGGGACAGACGCCAGGAGAACTGTTCCAGAGTGAGGGGCGGGTGCACTTTGCAGGAGAACACACGCCACACGCAGCATGGGTGGATTGAAACTGCAATAAAGTCTGCACTGAGAGCAGCTAAAAACATCAATGGCCTTACAGTTTGATGTGTATTCTTTTTTAAATATGTCTCTCATATACAGTCTTATAGGGTTTGTCTGATATTTTGGTTTGTAGGTTAATCTTGTGAGTACTGTTCTATTAGTACTAACACCTTCTGATATGATGTACATTTCTGTGTTACGTACATATTTATTGATTTACATACATATCGACTGATCAGCAGTAAAAGTATTGTCTGTCATGATCAGATCCCACAAAGATAATCATGAAATGTAATTATTTAATTATGACTATGTTTGCAAGTGGTGTATGTGGTGTCTCAGAGAATATTCCATGACTTTCTACCAGAATAAAATTGAATTAGAGCTGCAAGTTGACTTATTTTCACCACTGATTATTTTCTTGTTTAAAAAATTTATTGTTTGGTCTATAACATGTCAGAAAATAGTGAGAATGCCCATTATAAGAGTCCAAGGTGGTGTATGCTTGAGCAACAGTCCAAAACCACAAAATACTCAGTACATTAACATTTCATTTAAAGAAAAGCAGCAAATGCTCACGTTTGAGAAGCTAGAATCAGCAAATGTTTGGCTTGGGAAGTTACTACAATGATTAAAAAAACAAAACATATATTTTAAGCCCCTATAAAGGAACTTTAATTTTGTTGATTGTGGTGGGACCCTGTGGACAGAAGCGGTAATGTTTCTACACTAACCAGTGATCACGTGATTAATATGTAGGGTTATGTAGCATATTTGCAAGATTTTCCATTTTCTATATTTCTTGTATGGTAACACATTGGTCAGGAAAAGGACAACAATCGGTTTCCAATGAAATCACAACTTCCTCCTTGAGAGGCAAATTTTTTGTAAAGCCATAATTTATTTGTATCATTTTCTTGTGAGAGCACAGACATGCCTTTTGTAGTAGAGTTTGCGAGATCTTCAAATGCATGTGAAAAAGTCTTATCTGATCAAAAGCTGCCATGAGAGCACTATAAAATATTGTCCAAGGTGGTTGTGTCCTTTTTAACGATGTCAACCTCAGGTGACCATCCTTTTGGTTGGTTCATAAGCCTACATTGTAGCATGTATATTCAGTATACACCCTTAGGTAGTGCTATCAAGCAATGATTCATTATTGTAGCAAGGTGGTCGTAATCATCAGTAGAATCGCTTGATGGACATTGTCTTAGAGGCACATTTCTATTGGACTCCACAATTAGTTCTTCTGAAGCGTATGTACAGTCACAGGGAAAATGTTTCTTTGTCCCCCAACACAGACAGTCCTGATCTCCCTGGGGCCCTAAGCAAAATTCTGCTGACCTGTGAACCATGTAAACCATCCACCATTGCCACACAGTCACACCTGACACCCCAGTGCTGCCACTACAATTCTCCCTCCTTTAAAACAGTTTGCTCCATCTGTCGGTCTTAGAATAAGTACACATATACATAACAGAATGAGATGTGAAAAATATATAGTATAATAAAATATAATAATAATAACAATTAAAATAATAATAATAATAATAATAATAATAATAATATTTATTTAATATAATATTTTCTACAGAATCTTAGGATCAGTGAATATTAATAATAACACAAATAAGACTTAATATAAAAATTAAAAAGAAAATGTAGAAAATAATCAAATATAGCAGTAAGCTGGCTCAGTCCTCACACTAATATACAATTAGCTTTGGCTAGACAAAGTAAACATAAGCCTATAGGCTATGGCTGCAGCTATATGTCTTAAAATAGTCAAATAAAACTTATACAGCACTGTGCTTAACTTTGGTTGCCTCTACAGCCTGGGAATTTTCAGTATCAGCCTGGGCACAAGTCTGTCTGGACTGTCTGGAAGAAATTGAGAAAGTATGTTACATTTAAGCAGCTTCGACACAAATGCACTTCTCCATACATTTTTAATTGTTACTAAGTGTGTAAATGTTTAAATGTGTGAATTAAAATCTTACCTTCGAAATAATTCTCTTCTGCACTTTAAGGCAAAACTATCAATGATGTCAACATAAGAAATTTGTTTCCCCATTTTATAATTTATGCTCATGGTGGCCAGACCACTCAAAAGTGACATGGAAGACCTCAGCTATCTTTTGATGAGCTTTAACTTTGAAAAGCTTGTCTCTGCTAATACTATCATTACTGGTTGTGTGACTGCAATTCTAATGGCTGTCCAAAGGTTAGGATACAGTTCCTCCAGATCTTTCTCACAGAGAAAGGAAAGCAGCTCAAATGCAGTCATCTTACCTGATGGCAGATCAGGTAAATTTTGAATCCCGTGTGCCAGATCCATTCCACTGATGTCACAGTCATCTCTGAAGGTTAGAGTCTTTTCAACTACCATGCAGTGAACCTTTAAAGATTCACTGGGCATCTGAGAGGCACTGTTGAAGTTCAGCAGAGTACATTGGTAGAGAGTACATTCACACTGTTTCAAATCTCTCATCCATGGATGTCACAGCAGAGTCAACCACACTGTTGAAGTAGCTGACTTCAAGGTTCATCAGGAGCCTCATAGCTGAAATGTCTCTAGCTGTTTCTCCGTCCCTTCTCTTTCAGAACAACCTTCACGTTCACTTCTTCACAAATGCTTTTGGCTGTTGTCTGGGCCTCAGAGAGTCCAGTGTATGGGGAAGCCTTTGCATTTCTGATTAAATGCACTGCTATATCCATCTGCATTGAGGTGGATTGCAAAAGCGTGTTCATCTTGTTGTTAATTGTCAGGATCTAACACCAAATCAAGAACTGGTGTAATCCAGCTTCATCTGCAAAGGATCGTGCCTCCACTTTGCCTACAGGATTGTTGATCGTCTGCCTTGCTTCTAGTAATGCCTCCTGAATCTCAGGAGCCTGATACATGACTGCAACACTTTGGAGCCTACTCTCCTATCTTCTGTCACTCCATGACTTCACAGTTATGTAGATGTGCTTCTTCTGGACACTCCATGTTTGTGTGCCAGCAGAAAAGAAGGTGAAGAGCTTGTGAACATGCCCAAAAAAACCAACTGCATCTTTTGAAGCTTCATCTGCAATGACAAGGTATGTATGTGCTCCACATAGTACTGACACTGCTCTGGGATTTTTTTTGAGTAGTCTGGCTTGTACTCCTTTGTGCTTCCCCTTCATGTTGCCCCCATTATCATAAGCTTGAAATCTTCAAATGGAATATTCAGCTCATCTACGATGACAGTGGACAAACTCATGCCAGTTGTAACCTTTACATTTACAAAGAAATGCTCCTTGATCTCCAGTGTTTTCAATAAAGCCATACTTCTCTGAATAATGGATAAATGCTTCTGGTAACTAAAGTCAGGTGTACAATCCAAGATAAGTACTTTGACCTTTCTTACTTGAGTCACTATTGTTCCCAGAATCTTGTCACTCACAATCAGTATCTGTTAAGGTTGGTTTAGAACCCAATGTGCAAGACACAGAAACAAGAGACTTACTAAGCAAATTCAAAAGTTTATTCACCACTTGGTTGAGATGGAATGTTTTGGTTATGAAGATGGTATATTGAGGGTTGACAACAAAGCTGAGTAGAACCAGGTGACCGGGGCTTGGCGGGGTCCAGTGAAGGGAGAAGCAGTCTAAAGAATGGTGTTTCATGGCAAAAATCCAAATGAGACAGCAGACAAGACAGGACGTAATGTAGGAGTCAGGAGTCAGGCAGGGGAACAGAGATTAGTGATCAGGCAGAAACAAAGAAGCAAAATCTTTAAGGCTGGATATGTGACTGACTGTGAAAACAGAGTCTACAATCTGGCAGAGTGTTGAGGAGAAGACCAGGTATATGAAGCAGAGCAGGATGACAATGATGGCTGGTAGCTTTTGACCTGACTCCTACACACCTGACTCCACTCAAGCACACGGCCAGTTAGACAGAGGTGGAGGGATTGGTAGTATCAGCTCATTCTATGAGCATGTGTCTCTCCATCTGCAATTTTTGTGAAGTGTCATCGTTCATCAAGCCCATATATTAACGTTACTTACTACGTTATTTGCTGATGAGTCTGGCATCAAACTTGGAGAGGAGAGTAGGTCTACACAAGTTTACCTGATTGCTGTTCCCACAATTCACTCTCATTTTTTTTATTCTTCTCGTGACCAGAAGGATAGCTCCACTTCATCCTCTCGTTTAAATTAAAACATTGACACCCACTTTGACACAGAAGGTGGAGTGCATAGTGAGCTTATAGGGTGAACCGGCTCTGCCCCTAGACATCATTTTAATGTCTCTGGAACCACTGGAAGGGTGATAGGGTATGGAGTGTTTGTAGTTGGCGTTAAGTTGTTCATAGTGTAATTTTCTAGTTTGTGATGGATGGGACAAGGCAAGTACCATAGGGAGTGATAGGCAAAGCTGAGAGTCCGTCTCTTGATAATGTGTGGAATGAATCCACAAACGTAACAGATCTTAGGGTTTGGCCTATCATCAGTTACCATTTTTGCTAATGGGGGTAGGTGTTTGTTAAGGGTTGTGGTTCAAAAGCAGTAGGTGTCTATCCCTCTTGGTATTTGGATTTCTCTGTTCGTTAGAAATAATCCACTATGACTTTCCTCTGCTCTTCTGATGACTGTAAGTGTCTTACGTCTGCTTCTCAGACTTGATTATCTGCATAGCATCTCTGCTCCTCTGAAGACTGTGGGGTCCTACATCTTCTTCTGGGACACTGGGTCCTGCATTGTTTCTCAGGGAAGGAGGTCCTTCCCTGGGATGCAGAGACCATTTGCTAAAGAGGGATTCAGTCAATATATTCTGCTGCATCATGGAGGAAGTGGGGACAACCTTAACATTTGACTGCGGTGGTGATAAGCAAGACTTGTTACAGGGCGTTTTTCCTCTAGAACTCTCTGATACAGGCCCAGCTCCCTGGTTGGATGTTGTGACACGGTTTGACAAGCTTTTACTTATCTGTGAATTAGCTGACAGCAGAGGTTAGAGCAGAACAAAATAATTAATAAACAAGATTCATCTTTTCAAACATAGTACTGAGTTACTTGATAAGAGTTGCTGGTATTCTCGTAATTATCTCATAAGGGGGAAGTTTGTGTTTCCTGATGGGTGTGGATGTCATTGACATAGGGAACACCACTGTCCATTTCAGGCCTGTTTCAATACACAGCTTAGCTAGTTTGTATTTCAGAATCCATTTGGTCTTTCAGCCCTTTAGATGGGATTTACAGTTCAGTCATTATTTGTCCAGTGAAATGTCTGAACTGATGGTCTGTGGAATTCCAAAACTTGGAACAATGTCTTTCAGCAGGCATTTCGCTAAATAAACAATGTTAGCTTTTTTGCAAGCTCGGGCTTCAGGCCAGTTTGAAAACCTATATACATCCATCACATTTTGCATACAAAAGTAAATTTGTGATTCAAGAGGTCCCTGTGGGGGAGGATGTGCTGACATTGTTGTCTGTAGTCTTTCAACACTTTGACACATCCCCCTTTTGCTCACATGTGACAAGCCATGTGACATGTGTGCTCAGGTACAGGGACGTGGGAGTCACAATGCAGCCCTCATTGTGGACCTACAAATTATTTACATATTTACATCCATGGTGAATCCACAACATATGTTCCTCTACATCAGTAGTCTCTTGTTGTCTTCATCATGTGTACCAATTTTAATGTATTGTTTTAGTTTAACTAAACATTCAGTTTAGTGGAAAATGTTACTTCTGTTTGTTTATGATAATACTGCCTTGAGTGTCTCCCACTGAACTTGTCACACACCTGCCTTTGGTAGGTTTTGTTTTCCTCTCATAGTGTCAATATCAATAGCAGAAGGAAGAAGGAGCTCCATCCTCAAGATGATCCCTCACATGGCCCTGTGCAAATTCTGTAAGTATTACCAAACCACTATTACATCATAGGTTACATCAAGGTCTGATGCTGCTATTGTAATTTAATTAACTACAAAAATTAATATTTGACATGTAACTGAAGCAAGGAAGTTGAAATCTGCAACTACACCACTAGATGCCACTAAATCCTACACAGTGGTCTTAAAAGTACCAATGAATTAAATAATAATAACCCATTATAAGTAAAAGTCCTGCATTGAATTAAACCCTATTGAATTAAGGTACAGACCAGCAAATTGTACTTAAAGCTGCACAAGGTAACTTTTATAAAATATTTTTTGTCATATTGCTGAAACGATATACTATATCCTGACAGTAGTACATGAGACAGATAATCTGTGGTTCCTCTGGCTCCTCCTAGTGCTCCTAATGGCATTTGTGATAATCCGCCAGGCCTGTATGAAAACAACCAATCAGAGCCAAGAAAGATAGTCAATTGTTATGTCTCATTCCGAGGGCGTCAAATACAGACACTGGGAATGAGACTCAACAATCAACTATCTTCAAGCCTCAGTCCCAAAGCGTCTTTATATCTTTCTTTGCTCTGATTGGTTGTTTTTGTCCAGGCCCGGTGAATTCATGGAAATACCATTAAGAGTGCTAGAACGAGCCAGAGGAACCTGATTTTTCAAAGATTATCTGTCTCGTGAATTACTGTTAGGACACGTATAATTTGAGCAAATATGACAAAAAGCTATTTTTATAAAGGTTACCTACTGCAGCTTTAAAGTAGTAGTTTAAAGTATTCATTTTGATCCTAATCCAAACTATGCCTTTAACATTTGAAACAATCCCTCCTCTTCTTCTTCTTCTTTCTCTCATGATGCTTTGAATCCGCCACTTGAATTGATATTTTCTTCCCTTGCCAGTTCCCCTGGTTCTAGTCGGGGTTGTGGTGTTCACTGTGAGTGGGATCTTTGGAGACCCCTTGTATGAGTGCCTCCAAGACACTGACTACAGCGAGCTTCTCAACATTGTGGACAAAGGACTTCCTGCCACTAAGACACCCCGTCATGTAGCAATCATTGGCGGGGGCATCGCTGGACTGACCGCTGCAAAGTTATTAGAAGATGCCGGACATCAGGTAGATGAATTTATAGTGAGAAGATAATGGTTTAAATATTACAGTAAATATCCATTTTCTGAGTGAATACTGATGATACTTGCTGTCAAACAAGTGCATTTAACATGATGATTAAATGTGTCTCATGGACAACAAGGTGACCATAAATAGAACAGTGGCGTATTGGAGGACGTATAGAGACCTTCAGGAACAGAAGTGAAGGCTGGTATGCAGAAATGGGCGCTATGAGGATCCCCAGCTTTCATAAGTGATACAGTGATGACAGGGACATCAGGACTGATAATGTTAAAGGCACTTGTTTCGGGATTAGTTAGGGTCAGTTAGTATAGCTACTTTTTGTAATGGTGTTTACAGTGTGGGTATTGCCACTCCTAATGAAGCTACTCTTATCAATATTATAATATATTAATGATATCATCATGACTATGTGTACTGTGAAGGGTCATTCGTAGAAACAAACCTACAGAAAATTATCACCCCAACTTTCAGATCATCCAGCAAATGCTTGTTTTGGGTCCAGTCTCACACACATAAGCACCATTTTCAGCCATTTAACACTCTACGCTACCTGCCCAGCACAAACAAAGTCAATTTCAGATGGCCAGAAACATGACTTCATGTTCATGTAATTTGGTAACTGTTTGTTAACACATTCAACTTTAAGGTGATAATGTGTCAATATTGAGTTTACAGCTTATTGCACTGCTCCAAGTGGCAAAACATCAACTATGCAGTTTTAAATAAATTATGTAAATACTTCAATCAGCATTGGTGTTCCTAAAAAGATGAACATGTATATATCTTACATATATACCGTAAAACTTCCAATAACAGCAGGCTCCCAAATAAAATGCAGGCTTCCAATAGAGGCCCTGGTCTGGATTTTTATCGAAACTATCTCATTGTATAAAACGCATGAGTGAATTTTAAGCAGTTTAGATCACCTACACAAATATAAATGTTTTAAACCTTTTGTCAATATGGATGTGCACAATTGTTGATCATTAGAATCTCTCCACAATTCCATCCTTCACTTCAATTTTACAGACTTATAACACTAAAGAATATCATTCAGACCTACCGGCAATGGTAACAAGAGGACGGAAAAAACGCCTGAAGGGTCATAAAGTTCCTACGTTTATGTCCATTCCACCAATCATTGTTATATTCCTTTATCTTAAGGGTCCATCATCAAAAGAATCAAAGTTTGATTAAAATGAATTCCGAGTTATGAATATTTCATGTCAAGTCCATTGCT